CTCGCACCACATGACTGGTCGGTGCGAGTTCTTCTCTGACCTGGACTTCGGCGTGAAGGGCCCCATCAAGTTTGGTGACGCATCCGCCATCGAAATCATGGGAGTCAGCTCGATCAATTTCAAGGCCAAGATGGGGGAGCACCGCCTCCTCACTGGCGTGTACTACATCCCAGCCTTGAGGAACTCCATCATCAGCGTCGAGCAACTAGATGAGAATGGCTCATAGGTGGAGATCAAGGACGGCATGTTGCGTATCTAGGATAGAAGCCACTGCCTTCTCGCCAAGGTGAACCGAGGAAGCAACCGCCTTTACATGCTTTATGTGCATGTGGCGTACCCCCTTTGCCTTGTCGCACGCCAGGACGATAAGGCGTGGTGTTGGCACGAGCGCTTCGGGCATCTTCACTTTGAGGCCCTAAAGCAGCTTGGCAAGGAGGAGATGGTCCGTGGCATGTCCTACATCGACCACATCGAGCAGTTCTACGAAACCTGTGTGGTGACCAAGCTGAAGCGCCAGTCCTTCCTGTGTCAAGCCTCATACCGCGCCATCGAGCAGCTCGAGCTGATGCACAGCGACCTCTGTGGTCCAGTGTCACTGGCCAGTCCTGGAGGTTGGTGCTACTTTTTGCTGCTCATCGACGATGCCACCCGCTCTATGTGGGTCGTGCTACTCAATTCCAAGGTGGCAGCTGCAGATGCCATCAAGCGCCATCAGACAGCCGTGGAGGAGTGCGACTGCAAGCTCCGGGTGCTCTGCACAGACAATGGTGGGGAGTTCATGGCGTACCGTGCCGACGAGGGGATTCAGCACCACTACTCCACGACCTACTCACCGTAGCAGAACAGAGTGGTCGAATGCCACAATCAGACGGTGGTGGCAGCGGCACACGCCCTCCTCAAGCAGCGCGGTATGCCGGTGATCTACTGAGGGGAGGCCGTGATGACCGCCGTACACCTACTCAACCGCTTGTCGACTAGTGCTCTCGTTGGCAAGATGCCTTATGAGCCCTCACACGGGCGCAAGTCGGTGGTTAGCTACCTAAGCGTCTTCGACTACCTTGTCTTCGTCAAGGAGCTGAACCACGTCGGCAAGCTTGACGATCCCAGCTCGCTGGGGGTCTTCATCGGCTACGCAGAGGGGGCTAAGGCCTAGCGTGTGCTCAACCCAGTGACACGACACATGGAGTGGTGCGTGACGTCTTGTTCGATGAAGGACGTGGCTAGGCATGGGACAAGGCGATGGATGACGGGTCGGTGGCCATGCTCCGTGACTTCATCGTCGAGTATGCGTGGGCGGGAGGTGCTGAGGGAGCACCAGGTGCATCCTCATCGATGTCTGGGTCTTCATCACCAGCGTCAACCTCTTCATCAGCTCTGCCACGCTCGCCATCACCACATTCGGGGGAGGTCGACAACCCATCAGCAATGGTCGGCAACCCATCGGCGGTGGTCGGTAGCCCATTGGCGGTGGTAGGAAGCCATCGGCAGCAATGCCAACATTTCTAGCACCGTAGCTGACCTCTTCGGCGCACTAGCCAACCATTTTGGTATCTTCTACTTGGCCCGCTGTGACACTAGCGCACGTCGGGCAGCCAAAGATTGAGTATGCAACGCCGTTGGAGGATGATGAAGACCACCTGGACGCCTACTACGACGATGAGCCCCTCTGGTACCGCACAGTGGCGAACATCCTCGGAGAGAAGTCTCCACCAGACTAGCTCGAGAGGCTCTTTGCCTATCTACATCTGACGCATGCCAATGAGCCGACAACTTATGCTGAGGTGCAGGGTGATCCGGCGTGGCGGGCAGCAATGGAGCAGGAACCGAACTTGGGAGCTAGTACCAATACCTGACGGCCACCGCCCCATCACCCTAAAGTGGGTGTTCAAGCTCAAGAAGGACGAGCTAGGCGAGGTGATCAAGCATAAGGCGCGACTGGTAGCGCGCGACTTCATCCAGCAGGAGGGGATCGACTACGATGACACTTTCGCCCCAGCAGCGTATGGAGTCGGGCTTCGTGTCCTCCCTATATTTGGTGGCTCAAGAGGGGTGGCAAGTCCATCACATGGACGTGAAGTTGCCTTTTCTCAACGGTGACCTCAAGGAGGAGGTCTCACGGCGCTAGCCACCTGCTACTGTACTGCCGCCGGAGAAGAAGGTAAGGTGTATCGCGCCACGCAAGGCACTCACGGTCTGCGCGCCAAGCACCGCGCTACCGAACACGAAGCTCGACGCCATGCTCAAGAAGATGGGTTTCAAGTAGAGCGCGCATGAGGTGGCGATGTACCGGCGGGGCAGCGAACGCAACGTCTTACTGGTCGCCGTCTACGTCGACGACCTCATCATCATCGTCGCTGAAGAACAGAAGGTGGAGGTGTTCAAGGCGCAGATGAAGAAGGCGTTCGACATGAGAAATCTCGGCCTCTTGTGCTTCTACCTCGGCGCTAAAGTATGCCAGGACGCCAGTGGGATCGCCCTACGCCAAACTCACTATGCCAAGCACATCCTCAAGCTCGGCGGCATGACAGGCTGTAATCCGGCCCACACCTCTATGTTGGAGAAACTCAAGCTGAGTTGGGAGAGCACGACGGAGGTCGATCCAACCCATTACCGGCGGCTGATCGGGAGCTTGCGCTACCTAGTCCATACTCGGCGAGACATCGCGTTCGTTGCCGTCGGGTACATGAGCGGTTCATGGAGCGACCTACGATGGAACATCTGAGCCATCAAACAAATCTGCGCTACGTGGCGAGCACCATCGACTCACGGTCTCCACTATGGAAAGGGCCCCAACACGGCGTGGTTCGCTTGGCCATCGCGACAAAGAACCTCGCCGGCGATATGGACACCAGCAAGAGCAGAATCGGGATGATGTTTTTCCTCGGTGATTGCTTGGTCAGCTGGCAGTCCCTCAAATAGAAGGTGGTGGCCCTCTCAAGCTGTGAAGCGGAGTACATCGTCACCACCACTGCAGCAACTCAAGCACTATGGCTGTCAAGGATGCTGGCAGAGCTCCTTGGTAGGAAAGTGGATGTGGTTGAGCTGAAGGTGGACAGCAAGTCTGCTCTAGCTCTGGCCAAGAACCCTGTCTTTCACGAAAGAAGCAAGTACATCCGCATCAAGTATCACTTCACCAATGATTGCCTGGAGTATGTGAGCATCAAGGCCAACCACATTGCCACTACTGATCAGCTAGCTGATATTCTCACCAAGTCGATGGGGAAGTCCAGGTTCTAAGAGATGAGGGAGAGGATTGGGCTACAACAGATCAACTCCAGTGCTCGGCACAAGGCTTAGGAGAATTGATAGATAAGCCTAATGCTAAAGCACTTGTATCTTACTTTTTCCCGCACTTTTACTTTTCTTGTCTTTCAAGCCTCATTGGTAGAAATATGCTCAAAGATCCACTTTAGTGGTTAGAATATCTTTGTAGCAAGTGGGAGTCCCCCGCCTATAAAAGGCTAGGGAGTGTCATTGTAAAAATCAAGCCATTGCATTTCCTTCAATCCAAGCGGCCAAGGGCCAAGTCGGCCTCGATAGTTTTCAAATCTGAATCGAGATCTATTTGGGCCAACAATTATCTCCATAACACAAGCGTATCGACTTGTGCAGCAAATGGTTAAATAAAAAAGAGCACTATTTGCAGCTTATAGCAGAGGGAAGTCTCAAATTGGTCGGTCAACAATACATTGTTGTACAGAGCAGAAACCTGATTTTATTCAAACAAATTGACATGTCTCCTATATTCCAGCGGCGCTAAGTATCTATAAATGCTTACAGATATGTTGTCATCACCAATTTAGACATGACATCAAGATAACAAGCTACTGATTCCAAAACAACACAAGCAAGAAAATTATAAAATAACTCCACGGCCTATATATCTTTGACCGCAGAACCCTGCTTAGTGATAAGAAACCAGACCATCGAATGACAAGGTATTATCCTAATCAAGACCCACCAAGCATCAAACAACAAAAGTGGTTATCCTATTTATTTTACAAACGCCCTTAAATACTCTTTTATTATTTCTTATATTTTCTTTTAATTCTCAAAGATTTCCATTGGTTCTGCACACAGATATGAGTAAATGGCCATAAGAAATTTTAAGAATTTAATAGCATGCCAATCTATCCTAATTAAGGACCTACCAGTAAATTTTATTTACCTTTGGTCCCATATATAAGTCCATTTAAGTTTTTAAACCTTTTTAGCTTTTAACACCAATACCTAAAAAAACATATAGGTTGAAACATTATATTGATGTTAGTAGATTTATTATGAAGCAAACTTTCATAATATGTAACTCTTTTTAATTTAAAACAATGTACCTTTGTAGGTACTGTTAGCGACATCCATGTCAATATCAAAATGGACTTATAGGATCATATTATTCTAATACTTTATTCTATATTCTAATATGATTTTCACATTCTAATTTAATAGTTCAAATACAACAATATTTCTATGATCATGAAATATCGACCTTCCAGATTTTATAATTTTTAAGACACGAAAGCTAAACACCGGGGAATTTCCGTCACCGGAACTAGAAGTTTGAGGTTCAGTTGTTCCTGGTTAGGCTATCATACAAATCGGTTTACTTCATTTAGAACTTTCTCTGCTGTGCTGTACACTAGCAGCAAGATGCGTGTGCTGTTCACCTTTTATTTGCATTGCTGAATCCCAGGAAAGATGCATGTGCAGAGCTATTTTGAAAGCACTGATCCCCACAACACTAAACACAGCTCCATGATCAATGGTTCAATGCATTTTATAATAAACAGAGAAGAGTATTGCAATTTGTGGAGTCGATCAGGAGCAAATTCAGAATAGAGAAGCAGCGCCTTTTTCCCTTGTACCAGACGGAGACATCTTCAACCACTGTGGGGGTCGGCGGTGTGATGCGTCTACCCAGGGGCTGGGCAGACGGACAGCAGGCACTGCCTGGCCGGGATTCATCTGCCTTTTTTGATGGTACAATCTATTCGCAATCACCCTTAGGGCCCAATCGAGGGCCAAATCGAGAGGCCCAAGAAACCTGTGGCAGCGAGAAGAGCGCAACGCGCAGCGGCGGGGCCGCCACCCCGGCGCAGCATGCCATGTAGGGCACCTGTGGCGGCGGCGACGGTGCCGCCAGTCAATTGGTCGTCTCTCTGGAGCGCGAGCGACGCGGCATTTTCGATGACGGAGAAGAAGATGCAGTATGCGCCGAACCTGCCGGCGACGCGAGGCGCGTTCTGCCGGACAGCGTTGACGGCGCCGGCGAGTCGGGCGCCGCTAGGCGAGGCCCGGAAGCCCTTGATGAAGTGGACGGCAGAGCCGCCCGCCAAAACCCACGAGAACAAGTCGCCCACGAAGCCGAGGTAGCCATAGACAGGGTCCGGGCATATATCGTACGCCGGCGTACGGCCCATCGGTTAGCGGCCTGTCCGGCTGTCCCAGTCTCCGGTGGCAGGGAAGCTTGTTCTCAAGGCGAGGGATCGTGTGTGTGTGTCTGCGGGCAGCGATTTTTTAATATTAAAATAAATTTATATAAAAAAAAACGAATTAACAAGTACCAAACCAAATAGATGAATTATAAAACAATACATTACATAATATATTTATTTAATACTCCCAAAAAATAGGTATCATTATTAGTATATAAATATCGACATTAAGAGCTGCTGGTAAATATATCTATGATGCAGGCAGAATGTCCTCTAAATACAAATACCTAAACTTATTTGACCCCTATAAAACATGTCCTCTAAATCTCATGATTGTTACTGTATATGCAGCAGGCAGAATTTGAAAAGCCTTGGTAATCGTGAATTCGAGAGTACGTACATAGATTCAGACAGGTGCGATTCTCTCTAAAAAGAGAGGCACAGTGCAGGAAATCGCTGAAAAGAGAGGCAGCACTGGCTTAATGCAGGAAATCACTGAACAAGCACAATTGCAGGGAATATTGCCATACTCGGCCCGCATTCAATCTGTCGACGCTAGCTTACCGGCCCATGTTCATATCTGGCCCGCGTCATGACGTGAAGTTCCAACTTCCAAGTCGCCGATAGGGCTCCCGGAGTCCCGACGTTGCTTTTCATTTTCATTTTATTTTTTTTTCTTTTTTTTTGTTCTCTACCTGTCAAGATGGCTTCTTTTATTATTTTTTACTGTTTCGAGATTTTATTTTCCTTTTAATTATATTTTCCTTTCTCTCCATTACTTGTATTTAAAAATGTCCCTTCATCACCGCTTTGTTCCTATTGTTTAAAATAGAAGCAATAAAGGCCTAGGGATAACATTGCCTCTTTTATCTATTTTTCCTTTCTTTCCGTTTTAAATTGTTGTTTACTAATGGTTTTCTCTCACTCTCTCTTTATTATTTCCATTTCAAATGTTCCATTGTCATGCCCAAATTTATTTTTTGTTAGTTCCTTTTATTTATATATTTTTTATTTTGCTTTGTTCTATTTGTTACTTCTTTTATATTTTATCGTATTTTTCATGATGGTATAATATTTTTATGAACAAGGGTCATCTTCCACATGATGCTAGATTTTCTCCCCTAAACATAGAATAATTTTGTTGTCAATCTAAACAAGTTGCACCTAGTATATAACTTTTTTTCTTCTACTAATAAAAAGCTAAATATAACGAAGATAGTCTTGCAGATGATATGCGATATGGTTAATATGCTGTTGAAAGTTTATAACTATTTAAGGAATTGTAATGACTTTAAATGAAAAAAAATCAAAACAAAATGTTGTTAATCTTGTCAAGAGATTTAATTTTCATAGGATGGAAACAGTAACAAAAAATCCCATTTCTAGGTGCTCATTTTCATATGGTTCCCATAAAGGTGATATAGTTTCTGATTATTATCATATATGAATTTAGTTTTAAATTTCTTTTATAACTATATTATAGTTGCCACGGGATAGTTACACTTTGAAATCAGGAAAATTTCAATCAACAGGCAAGGCGGCAACTATTTCCATATAGATGATATTGTACCATTTTATCCCCTCCTTCCTGCTATGTATAAAATTAAACATATATGGTTTATAGGGTGACAAGCAAGTGGTGGTTAGTATGGTGTTGAAAGTTTGTAACAATTTCTAAGCATCTTAATGAGTCAAAAGATTAAAAAAAACTCAAAACTAAAAAGCCATAGATCTCATCAAGAGGTACAATTTTCATACAAAAATCATATTCATTTTTTTTCTAATAAGGTATGATGATAATCTTGTCGTCATGCGAGTATGGGTGGCATAGCAAAATAGAGCTACCACGCTAGCGAGAGTGGCATGACGGTTTTCACATAGGATACGTGCAGGTAGAGACCTCTTTTGTGCTCTTGCGTGATATACATGTGCCACACGCCCACACCCATACCCATACACATGATGCGATATAATAGTGATTTTTCCTCTTCATTCTGCCTGGCAAAGGAAAAAAGATTATAATCTGCAAATGATTTTTGAACAGGTCATTTTCAAAATACCAGTTAAATTTTATTTAATAAAACAAAATAAAAACCGGAACCTCACCGGTACATGGGTTTTTTTGGAAGCCTCTCATCTGAGTACAACTATAACTACACACAGATGGGAAGACCGTTTGATGGAAGAAGTGCACGTGAACAACACCCACCGACGGGACAGACGTCTGGTTTTACACGGGCCGTTTCGTCCGGTCCAATCAGGCCTTGTCTTGTCCTCTGCTGCTGCCTTCTACCTTCTGGGCAGACGCCAGGGGAGGAGGGGGTGCGAGCAGCTCAGGGTGCGTTTGCGAGGGTGTACCTGGGCAGCCAGGCTGCAGGTAGCCAGGCCAAGCGCATGCACATGACTGGTGTTTGGTTATCGTACTCACAGAGCCGGCTGTTCAGAGATTTTGTTTGGTTCACTGCATGCGAGCATCTGCTGTCTCACTGACATGTCCCGTCCGCATGCTTGCTGCGCTCGCGTGAGCCTGGCCGCATAGAAACGAAGCCTAGCGGCGTTTCTCTAGGACCAGACGACGGCGGCGGCGTATTTGACTCCTGGGAGACGGGCTCGCTCGTGGGCCAAGGCAGCAAACACGAGAGCCTGCAGCCCATGAGCGCATGGCCGGCCTGAGCCACCCTCGCAAACGCACCCTCAAGGACCAGGACCAACTGGGAGGAAGAGGAAGGTTCAACGGAAGCGCTGCTCTTGCAAATGTCTGGAAGAGAGCGATCTCGCCTTCTAAAAAAGGTTCCACCGTTCCAGTATCCCAACGTGCACGTGTTTAATTTAAGCGCGTGGCATCGATCCCCGGCCTGCCGACTGAGCACATGCGTCATGTAGGTATGAACCCACCCGGCAGGCATCGCTTCCATCTGATCACCCTTCGCCACAGTCCCAATCCTATCCAGCACGACGATCTATATCTTGACCTTGGTCCAAGGGAGAGGCGCCATGCGTGTCGCACGAAAGCGTGGTGGCCGGATTACCGGGCGCTGATCGTTCACATCGTCACCGTTCACATCTCCATGGTCACACCACACGCAAGACGCAACTAACAGCTCAGCGAGTGCACCGAGCAGCCAGGCGACGGCTGGCCGGACGGGGAAACGGTCGTCGGCTGAGAAACTTCTTCCTGGGTCTTCCTGGCCACACGGTCAATGAAGCGAGTAATCCATGCGGCCCTGGCTCGCGTGCACGTGCAGACAGATATTGTTGAACTCTTGCAGAATATAATAATGCACACCGGCCGGCCGTGTCGTCTCGTGGCACTTTACATTTACTTAACCACTCTCTTTTAGGTAAATATTGACACTACTGCCTCTATTCCTCATCAAGTTATAGTTCACTTAGATTTTATCCTAAATTAAACATCTTTTTATTATTGACTAATAATAATTTATAAAAAAAATGTGGTAGCATCTACGACGTCATATTAATTCCATTATTAAACCTTCCAGGAAGTATACTGTATTTTAATAGTGCATTTATTTAGACTTATTATACATATATTAATGTAGTTTTCTAAAGACTATCAAAGTTAGTGAAGCTTGATTTGGGACAAAATTAAACTATAATGATACAATAACACTCTCAGGGATACCAAACATATAACAATCGGACGTCTGGTGGGGCATGCTACTTTAATATTTGTACATACGGAGTATATAACAAAGTGTAGATTTACCATGATTGATCATAACAAAATAATAAAATTTAAAAAGTATATATATAAAACGTGGAACACAAAAGAGGGCAGCGCGATGGATAATTGGATAGGCATGACGATGGCGCCTGAAGCTAATCATAACCACACGAGCGAGGCCATGATCCGTTCCGATTCCATCCTCAATCTCCGAAGATATGTTCAGGACCGGATCGGGATTATATCTGACGTCTGAGAGATGTCACGTCGACAATGGGCCTGTTCGCTTGAATTTATCAGCCTGCTTATCAGCTAGAATCTATAATATTTTTCTCTCACAATAAATCAGCTTCAGCCGGCTTATCAGCCCGCAATAATTATATAAGGACGTCCGTCCCTAAACTCGTGGACTGTGACTCCTCACTCCCATCCTGCGACCCCCCTCCTCCCCCACGCCCACTCGCTGCCGCTCCACCCACCCATTCGCTGCTGCCCGCGCCGCGCTGTGCTCCGAGCCCGCTAGCGCCCCGGGACGGACGCCGTGCCCAGCTCGCTGTCGCCCCTCCCACGTACGCTCCCTCCCTCCCTCCGCGACCTCCATTGCGACCCCGCGCTCCCCACACTAGATGAGGACAACGGCGGCGGCTCCGACGAGGTAGGTCGTTCCTCCTCTGAATCTGATCCCTCCTCCTCCTCCTCCTCCTCTGGATCTGAGGGATGCGGTGGTGGCTAGGGTTTCGCCAACCTTTGTGGTCCTATTCCCTCCTCCCTCCAACGAGCTCAAAGGTGATGGCCTAGAGCTTGGAGTAGCCTACACCTCAAACCCATCCCCTTGCTGTCTGTAGGCCTTTTTTTTGCTGTTTCTCCATGTTGGAAGGGGGATTTTTGAATGTTGCAATAGATGATTTTCGAATGTTGCAATAGGTGATTTCATGTGTTGCAGTAAGGGAGTTCTAATGTTAGGATTGTTGCAATACGGGATCTTAATTGTTGAAATTATCTTTTTCAAATGTTGTAGCACTAAAAGGTGATTTGAGATGTTTCCATTTTCATGTTTCATGGTTGATTTTGCGACGGTGCTACTGTTTCAGATGTTGCAGTACAAAATTTTTAATGTTGCATTACATAAATTTCGATGTTGCGCAGCATATTTTTTATGTTGCACTACATAGTTTTGCGATGTTGCAGTATTTATATTCGATGTTGCACTGCATAGTTTACATATTTTTGCGATGTTGCACTTGAAAGTGTTTCGTGCTCTTGGGATAGGGGCGCGGTGGGGAACGGGGTGCGGTGGGGA